GGAATGATATGCTGATGGGATGACCGTATAGACGGCGTGTTCACGCTCGAGCTGTTCCTTCCAGAAGAGTATCCGATGGCACCGCCAAAGGTGCGCTTCCTGACGAAGATCTACCACCCTAATATCGGTGCGCCCCTCCTTGTGTGTTTCCCTTCCCGCTCCCTCATGTCCTAGCAGACAAACTCGGTCGCATCTGTCTAGACATTCTCAAAGGTGCTCCCTCGTCTCGCATGTTTGTCTATGGTCGCGTGCTCATACGGGGCGACGTATAGACAAGTGGAGCCCCGCGTTGCAGATCCGGACAGTACTACTCTCGATACAAGCCCTACTCAGCGCGCCGAACCCGGACGACCCGCTTGCGACCGATGTTGCGAAGCACTACAAGGAGAACGAGGCCGATGCCCAGCGTGTCTCGCGCGAGTGGACCGAGAAGTACGCTCACGCCTAAGACCTCGCCGCTCTTTCTCCCTATCGCAGTCTCTCGCATCGAGCGGGTTGCTAGCATTGAAGAAGAGATGATGTACAGAATAACAGAGAGGGGTTATAGGTGATAGAGGTGCGAGATTGGGTTATACGCCATCGTGTGAAGGTGTAGCCAATGGGTATGTACGCTTCTGCGAGTATTGACTGTTCTTTCTGTATCCTCCACTGTCCTTCCTGGACCAACGAACAAGAAACGATCATCTTACGACTATCACATACGACATCTGTCCGGTATGACTGGGTAGCCTGCGTCTGACAGGGTATGCCGTGCTCGCCATGGCGCAGACAGATATAAGCGCCTTGTCAAACCGAGACAGCTTAAGGACAGGGCACCCAAAACTTAACAACGAAAATACCACAGACATGACGCCAGAATTCACAAGCTTACCTTTTTGTCGGCCGGGACCCGCCACCTTCTTGACGCCACTTGCTTGCTCGTGGCTGCACAACACGCTACTTTCCGCCTCGCGTGAGACGCCGTTCTGCGCTAACCTGGAGGTCAACCCAAACACGATTTTATAAATGCATGTATTTTGACGACGTCTATCCCCGCTCTCAAGGTTGATAGACTTACGCAAAGCCCAAGGTGTCGCCATTTCCTCATGCCTGTTGTACTCAAGCGTTTCTCGATCGAGCCGACTCCAACAATTTAGCAAACCGATGGGTGTATGATGGTCTGTCCACAGCTTGGTACGCTTGATACCTTGTTACAAGGGGCTAACAAGCGACATTCACAGGACTTTTGCTATAACAGATCTTGTAGCACCCTGCAAGGGCCAGCACCGGAACATTGTTGTTTTTCGACCAATATTAAGCGCTACCGGAGCCGAAGTCTGCAATCTAGGGTAGAGTGACATTGAAGTAGGGCTATCGCACTACTGTTGCTCACGGGTCAGATGTCCATCTGGTAGTCGATGTACCATTTCGGCTGGCGGTCCAGTAAGATCTTGCTCAGCTTGTCGACCGGCTTTCAATTCGGTCAGCCGCCTGTGCATAATTGCGTACTCATAATAAGTGTGGAAGGTTGTATCTTCTGTACCCTTGGCGGGACTCTCGCAAATGGCAGACTTGACGTCAAGTCTCCAACTCCGGCGCAAGGCCTCGAGAAGATGGCGCTCTTGCGCGGTTATTTTCACCCAGGATGCGGCAGACCTTGTGCGCCCTCTGTCTGAGTGCCCCTGGACCTCTTCGTCAATTTTCAATCGCACAGATACACGGTGTATATACGAAGTCGCCGGGATGACGGGTTGCATGAGCGGCCCCACAGCCGTCTAGTACGCACTTTCCCACCCCTCGGCTTCCTCATTTTCCGGGATCGTCGTCAAGCACACTATTCGTTATTCACATGAGTAGAAAAGCATCTCAAGTTGCAAGGTTGCGTGGCATCAGGAGAGTCGCACTTGACCGCAGGTTTGGATTTGTCCTCGGACTGAGGCTCGTTCTCTTCAAATAACTATTTACCTGCGCGTTGGACTCGATGTGCGGCTCGTTGACGCTATGCCCTCCCACTGTAACACACACCGTTGCATCATCGGCGACAAGCACCGCATGTACTTAATCCACTGGCTCTACGAGCGCATACCTGCCAGTGATATCCTGTGGCGCACGACTGTCGGCTGTACAAGTCAAAGATGGCACCATTAGGGTGAGTAGAAGCCGCCTATATGCTACAAACTTTCTGATATGATATGTCCGCCTGGACACTCCTATGCGAAATTGGACGGCATCGCTCGGGTATGACAGGGAAGTTGTGTGATGTCTCTTGCCTAGATGGAGTTGATATTGTGGCGAAAATTACGGCACTTAACCTTTAGCACACCCAGTACCCGAACGACTCAGTGATCAGCGTGTATAACCTCACACGGCAAATATTGATGAACTTGTCGAAAATATCCAGAATACAACACTGGCTACGTGACACAAACGCAAATGTTCATGAAAGGTATGCTGTACATGAACAAGTAAAATACACTCCTATGGGTTACGAAAAGCCCGTTTCTCGGATTACAGTACAGGTGCAAATCATATTTCTATCCTTCCTGATATTTGGTAGCCTGGGAGAGCTGTCTTTAGTGCTGAAAGACGAAGTTGATATACCGCTCATGCTCACAGGTCAAGGACCGTCTAACTGGAAATCGACGAACCACCTCGGCTGCCGGCCCAGCAAGAGCTCGCTGAGTTTGTCGACCTGCTTCTGTGTTGCTCGCTCGTGCATTCTTGAATACTTGTACGCATAGAAGATGGCGAATACAGGGAACACGTCACTCTCTGAGTCTTTGTCAGGGTTTTCGCGCACGGCGAACTCGACTTCGAGCCTCCGGATCCCTGTAGCACGGCGTAGGGCCTTGAGGGCATAGCCGAAGATGGTGCTGTTCTGCAGGTTATCTTCGTCCGGGATGCGGCAGACCTTCCGCGTCCACTGTATCAGTGCTTCTTCGACCTCTTCGTCGACCTCAATCGCGTATATGCGCGGTGTATACACCCAGTCGTTGGGAATAACAATCGCTACAAGAGGCTCCAGACCTGCCTTCTGTCTGCGCTCTTGCTCTCTCTCGGCTTCCTCGTTCTTCGGGACGACGTGGGTTCGTGAATAGGTTTATACATGAATGTAAAAACACACACACACACCAGCAGATTTGCAAGATACGTGGATGCACCAAGCTTGGCTTTAGGAGAGCCGGCCTTAATCAGGGATTTTGATTTGCCTTTCGACCTGAGCTTTTTCGACTTATTCGGTTTGGATGCTTTGTTGGGCTCGCCCTGCCCCTCCGCGGACGACGCTAGGGGAAGGTCGAATGTCACCTTACGCTGTTCCTTCTTTGTGGGAGGAGGTTCGGTGAGAGAGGACATGTTGGCTACGCGTGAAAGTGAGCAATTGTTGGCTGGCAGTGGCGGCGACTGGTAGGTTGTGTTCGGGCGCTCGCTCCCTGTCCAGCTAAGCCAGCGATAAACAAGTACAAATGAGGAACAACACGTGCTTAATCAGGATATCGTCGATGGCCGTGAGACCAGCCCAACTACAGTGTGAGATGCCAAGACCTGGCGCCTCCGTCCTGGCCTCAATTTTGGTCTGGAAGCTTGTTCCTTCGAGATTTAGCAGGAAACTGGGTATTCTGAGCATAATTCTGCGATCCCGAAATTTCGAGTCACGCGACCTAATTCCAGATTTCGGGCCGATATTTTCTCCAAACAAAGAATTGCTATCGCTCATGCTGAATAGACGTTTTATGCTTCTCCCAAAAAACAGACCTGCCTCGCTCACGCTCGGAGACCAGAGGGGAGCAGCAGCTTCACTAATGGGCTCATAATTGACATTGAATCTCTTGAGGATGATTCAGACTATGCGCTTGAAGTCGAGGACTTAGAGAATGACTGCGAAGCGCCTTCCCAAGCTTTCGGTCTCATGAGGGGCACAAAGTCTAATGCGGCAGATACCGAGTCAGATGTTGAGGTCAATATGCATACCAGGGCAAGCAGAACGGAATGCGGGTTGTTCTGCAGGAGCGAGACTTATAGGTCGACTTGGTAGTGAAACAGTGGCAACTTGAAGACACTGCCTGTTGGAATCTACAGTGAGTGTAAGGTGTCAGAGCAAGCACGGACGCAGCGACGCAAAGGGGTAGAGGCTGTATGAATGGGCACAGAAGAGGAAGTGGGTGTGTGAATGGATGTTGAGGAGCTGGATGTTGACTCTGTTCCAAAATCTGAGACATGCTGCATGCAGCGCATTCTTTCGCTGCAGGTAGACCTTTTAGGGGAGAAGTCCGTAATCCAAACTTACCCCGAGTTCATTAGCCACAGCTGTTACTTCATTCTGAGGTATCACTGTGAGCTCAATTTTATTGAGATGTCCTGGGGTTGAACCAAACGCCGTGAGTGTTTTCTGTCTACACCTTTTGCTTGCTTACCGGCGGCTTAGACTTTTGGGAGCTGCAACGGCAAAGGAGCTCTTGCCTCAAATCTTGGCCTCATGTCCTCTTAAGACTGTCTGCGCATTCTTCTGCAAGACCTGGACATACATGGACGCATACAGGTCCGTCTATTTTATATTAATTGTTTTAGTACATTACTACATCCAGCTGGACTGAAGCGCATCCACCCCTTCAGCAAGGGTCTCATGGCGGTGCAGATGGATTTTGCAGTCAAAGAATATCGCTCTCAACGACGCGTCGGTCTGACTATTATGATGAGCTTGCAGATGCTGGACAACTCTGCTTGAAGGGTGTTCGCGGCGGAGGGTACATGAGGTCTAGTGTTGCCACGGCTTGACTGCTTAGCCGCTAGTCGTTGCAGTCAAGCCATGTGGCAGCCAAGCCAAGTCGCTGATTGGCTCTTGGCTGTTACGCAGCTTAGCTGCGGCTTGGCGCGACTCGGCAGTGGCTTGCAGTCAGGTCCAGTTGTCCCAAAAAGGCAAACACCGCGTCACCTTGCTTGCCACTATGCCTCCTCGCAACCATAGAAAGAAGAGAGCTGCCGAGACCCCTCAGAAGACATCTAAGAGGCAAAAGGTGGCCTCTAAGCATGTTGAGTTTGACAATGGAGCTGTTATGACCCAGTTTAGGCTGTCTGGTGCGCTTTTTTTGAGCTTTTGTGCAGTTTGATGTTGTCTGCTGATAAAATCTTGAATTCTGTAGGTGAATTCTCATCTGAGGGTGCTGTCCAAGGTTCCCCAGCAAAGAAGAGAGGTGGTAGGAAAGGTCCAGGGGTTCAGGATGTTGCTGAAGAAGAGGTGCTCATGGCATTTGTGTCGCCCCGGAGAGGTCGTGCCAATCACCAGTACGATCCAAGTGGGGAGAGCTCGATAGACAAGTGGGTGGTGACCAATACTGCAAATTGCTATGCTCAAATGTTTGGATCTTTGTAGATCTGTTCCAGTTGCTGATAGTCGTGAATACATCAACATTGATATTGCAGACAACTCTGAAGACTCGCCTACTAGTCCAATGCCAGCTGCAGGCTCTTTACATGATCTCCTGCCTGCTCCTGCCATCCCAACTCGCAAGCCAGCAGGCCCTCCCATTCACCTGTTGCCGGTCAGCGTCAGAAATCGCCTCATGGGCCTGCAGGCAATAGACAAGGCAAGCAAGCTAAGGATGTCTGGCCCTTCTTGAGACAGATGAGAATGGACGCAAGAAATGCAAGTTTTGCTTGTATGAATTTCTTTCAGCTATTTCTTTGCACTTATTTCTAAAAAAAACTCGCCAAGTTTATGCATGAACAGAATCCTTATCACCATGTGTCCACCTGGACTACTGCAGGCACAGACAACCTCCGAAAGCACTTCCGAGATGCTGATCTTGACGAGTGGGTGGAGGCGTGCGATAAGGCACAAGTCAAAATCACAGCGAAGTGTGCTATGGCACAAGTCGAAGCCTGGAGGTGACGTCAACATGGACAACCAGATGTTGCACAAGCAGATAACAGCCGGCCACAGTTCACCAAGGAGCTATTTGTGGATTACATTACTGAGTGGATTGTTGCTGACGATCAGGTGTGCTTGAAATTTACATTTTATTGTGCTTTAAATCTGAATAAATATTTGCAGCCTTGACGCATCATTGAAAATCCACAGCTTCACAATATCTTTCTTTTGCTTCGCTCTGAGCTGCATGAGAAAGATATTCCTGGGCGAACCACTATCCGAATACGAGTTGGTGAGGTTTTTGAAGAGTATCTCAAGGAGCTTAGCCAGGATATGAAGGTAAGTGGCGAAAAATTTACAAAAAAATTCTGCTCTAATTCCTAATTATAGAATGCAGTTGGCAGCAAATCCTTCACAATGGATATGTGGACTGACCCATTCTTATCGCTGTACATGGCGGTTACTGCACACTGGCTGCAGCTTATTCTTGAAGATCGTGGTAACAGACTTCAGCCGCAGCTTCAAATTTGTGCAGATCTTATCGGCTTTCACCGTGTCCCCTCCAGACACACCAGTGAGCATCTTGCGGCTGCATTCCTTTATATCCTGGACCATATCAAGATCACAAACAAGGTACAGCCATTTTAACAACTTAAAATGATTAAACCACTTACTATCCTTTAAAAATATATAGATTGGCTGGATTACAATGGACAATGCAACAAACAATGACACCTGCATGGAGGCTCTTGAGCAAACCTTGCGAAAGCGTGGAATTGCTTTTGACAAGCTTCAATGTCGCATTCGGTGTGTATATTTCAATAAATCAATTGCAGTTTATTGCTCAAAATAACTGTAGCTGCTTTCCACATGTTGTCAACTTAGCATGCCAAAGTGTTCTTAGTGCTATAACTGAACTTGAGTATGTCAAGGAAACGTTGCAAGATTTCGAGCCAGAAAAGTTTTCGCCACACAATTTTCTTAATGCAGTCAAACATGACCCTATCGCAACTTTATGTTCTCTCATTAGAGCAGTAAGTTTAATTTAATCTATACAAGATAGTGATTTGCCTTACCTCAATGTATAGATTCGTGCATCTGCACTGCGTTGCCAGCATTTTATGCAGATTTTAGTCAATATGGATATGGCCATTCTGCAGCTTCTCAAAGACGTTGAGACACGGCGGTCATCAACATATCTCATGATAGATCGGGCTATTCTACTTCACGAGGTAACAATTTATTTTGGCATACTGTATACTTTCAGGCTTATTTATTTATAGGCAATTGAACAATTTCTCTATGGTTCAGAGTTTGCAGAACTTCGCAAGTATAGCATGAACAATGAAGAGTGGAAAGCTTTGGAAGTATTCGATGAGATCCTTCAGGTAAGTTTAGTTTTCTTTATTTATCCAAGTAATAAATTAAACATGAATAGGTTCCACATGTGTTTCAGCAGCTTTTATCTTCAGAATCTACGCCAACACTCATTAGTGTTTTACCTGCATTTGAAGCCATGAAGCTACGCTGGCAGGAGCAACAGGCAAAAGTATCCAACGCAGCTGGAATTATTCAGCAAGGTCTGGACAAGCTTGAAGACTATCGTGATCACAACCGCAGCTGTAATGCATATACTTTGGCCACTGGTAAGCACAGCTTTAAAGCTGCTAAAATCTGAAGCTAAGTTTATTAGTCATCAATTCTGCATGTAAGCTGGAGTGGTTTGAGCAAAACACTTCACCAGCAGAAGGGGCTGCAGCAAAGAATCTATTTTTAGCTGAGGTGCGCTTTAACTCATATTTTAATCTTCATTTCTCTCTATATTAACATTCATTTTACAGATGCACAAGTATAAATCCAAGATGGCCCCTTCGGCCTTGGCTCCAGCAGCTGCAGTGATTCAAACACAGCAGCAAAAGGCCTACAACATTTTATTCAAGGGTAAAGGAAAAGGTCCATTGGCTGAGTGTTCAGTAGAGCAAGAGTGGTATGCATACATTGCAGAGCCCACAGATGGATTTGTGGATGCTATCACATACTGGAAGGTGAGTGTACACTTACTGAAACTTGTGCCATAATTTTTCTCTCTATTTTTCTCCATTTTTTTCGAAATATTAATTTATCTTCACATTTTAGGCATCTCAGACCAGGTTTCCAACCATCTATGCCATTGCAATGGATATTCTGCCTATCCAAGCCTCTGCTGTGCCCTGTGAACGTGTCTTCTCATCCGGAAAGATGACAGTCACAGACCGGCGCAACAAAATCGGTGGAGAACTCATGGAAGCACTGCAAATTCTCAAGTTCAGGTTCAAGCAAGGCCACACATGGTTTGGACATCGGAGAGGAGCTCAAGGACTTGGAGAGCCGCGCAGAAGAGTCCCCAGAGGAGATCAGTTCATATTTAGCATCACTCAAGTAGGACAAGCAATGTTACGATGAATTCCGCGGTACCGGTGTGAACTACCTTCCTTTTTGGGAGGGATGATCGGCTGCAAGCCGCTGCTCAGCCATAGTCGCTTATAGTCGCGGCTGCACTGCGGCTTGACTTGACTCGGCTGATCCCAAAAAGGAAAAGCCGTCCAAAGTCAAGTCACAGCCAAGCCGCGCCAAGCCGTGGCAACACTAGTCCTGATCGGGGTCTTACACCTTCCATATTTGTGTTATGACTAAGCGGGCGCCTTTCTCAAATGGAAGTCCAGATTTTGGACCTGGTCGAAAATTCAAACTTGAGATCAGAAAGAAAGAATGAGATACATCTATGGATATGTTGTCTAACCATGCTCTGAAGTGATTTTTGAGAGGATATGAGGAGTTGTGCGAGACGAGATACATCGACAAGTTTTCGGGTGCCGAGAGGTCGGTTTTGAGCGTTTCACACTGTAGGCCTTTCCATTGTGCGGGACAATCGATATAAGTTTCACAGACTACCAGCCTCCAAGTGTACATCAGTTTCCGCACTCAGGCTTTCCTCCCGGCGTCTCGCATTCCATGCCAGTCGCAAGTCGTTACGTCGAGCTCCCGGACGACTTTCAGGGAGACGGCTTCATACAGTCGTTGGCACTATGTCACGAAGATGAAAAGCTAGAAGCCCCTCTGTATGGTGTGTGGGGCCCATGTCTTGCAAAATATCTACGCACTCCCGTCGGGGTAGAGGACATCCTCGTCCATACCTATCCGCAGTATCCTGCAGACCTTCTGTTCGACGTCGGAGAGATGGACGTCCACGGATCGGATGAGCAGGGGCACAATCGATGGGTGTTTAGGGGGAGGTCTGATCTTAATCTCCAGATGCTATTACGCTCCCATGTCGAGCGGACCCCTTCACCTCTTGGTCAGCCGTTAGTAAATTCCACAGCACTGCGCACGCCCGACGGCGACGATGCACCTGTGGAGAGCAGCAACCCCGGAAGTGAGATCCTCATCACCAAACTAGACCTTGCGAGAGCCATAGCCCACGTCACCAGCCCAAACTCGCCTTCGAACTCCTCAGTCGCGACTCCGCCACCCAAGCGCTCGCGAGCAACAGCCGTCCCAGATTTCACTCAGATTTGGCGCATCGTTGACAAGAACGAGCACGGAAAATGGATGTGCGACTCAGATGGCACTGTGATGTTCTTTGCTGAGAACAAGAAGCACATGAAGTTCATGTCTCGCGTATGGCAGTGGGTGGAGATGAGGATCTCCATTCAGACGTTCAGACAGGCCCGACACGTCTTCAGCACATCCAAGAACACCAAAGTCCTTGGCGTGATGCACATCCTCGGGTATTATTGGCGGTATTTCGAGTATATCCGTAGCAAGGCCTTCGATCCCCCAAGTGCAGATGAGGAGAATGATCCGACCTACGAGCCCGAGACTTCTTCGGGAAGCGCCAGCAGGGACAGCTCAGATCCGTTTGCCGACAACGGGGACACCAGTGACGGTCTCAAAAAAGCACGCAGACACGAGCATATACCTGAGTTTATCAAGACCATTTTCAACGGACGGAACTACCTCCATTTAATTGACGATTACGAAGATACCAAGGCGGCCCTGGCCGCTATCGGCGCAGAAATTTACTATGGTATGGAAGAACGGTATGCTCGTGTGTATATTGTGGTCTATCTCGCACTGACGCATCTTTCACAGAACCTGCGGCTCCGATAGCGACTCTGAGGACGACGAGGACGATGACGATGGCGACGACAATGAGTACGAGGGAGAAGGTGGCGATGAATGGGAGGGCGAGGAAAGGGACCGCGATTCGGATGTTGTCTCGTACTTAGACGAGGTTGAAGGAGCCGAGGTGAGACAGAGGACGACTGAAGACAGCGAGGAAGCCGACGACGAAGCCGCTCGTCCAGACTACGGCTCAGACGAGTTCCAGCTCTCGGCTCAAGCAGACAGCGATAATCTTGTTCAAGGCCCTCCGATCAGCGAGTATGACGAGGACGAAATGATGCCGGGTTCAGAGGATAGTGAAGCTGGCGACAAGAGTGGGGATTATATCGCCAGAGACAGGGATTGAAGCTGAAGCTGAAGCTTGAAGCACAGTTGTACAATGTTCGGTGAATAATATGTCAGACTTGGTGTAATCGCACGTGTACTTGTTGAGCCATTATTATATCTCTACAATTGAAGTACTGTGAAAGAGGAATGTATATCGCTGTATAATGCAAAGCGGACAAGGCATCGTGCTTAAGACGGTCACACTCTATGAGCACAGGTAGCAGTGGACGTCGGTTTTTCGAACGAGATTACTGGCAAGTTTAGTTTTGGCCCGGGGGAATGAAACTAATAGTAATTGGGGCCTTGGGGTCACAAAGAAGCAACGCCATTATATAACACATAGAAGAGGTGGCCTGGCTGCGCTCAGGGAATGTTGTACCCGCCGACTCTGACGTTGAACGCTGGGATCAGCGTTTTCTGTTTTTTTCTGGGTATGACGAACATTTAAAATATTATTAAACGGCATTAGTACTGTACGCAATCGCGAAAAATACACACCGGAGGATATAGAATTTTTATTGCATTGCACAGGTACAAGTACGGCTTGCAATGGGACGGTGGTGAGGGTGTTGAGGAGCGGGAAGATCGCCAGACGCTCTCTTGTACTTGGAAGAGGAAGAAGGGGTTCATGAGCTCGCGATCAATGCAGAGGACGTCCTCAACTTCGTGGGAGGTCCGCCATCGAGCGAGTACGACGATGACGAACCGAGCTCGGAGGATAGTGGCGGAGGCGACAAGATTGGAGATTATGCTCCTAGAGGTAAGGACTGAGGTATAAGTAGCAGGCAGGACATGATGCACGTAATTGGGAAAATTCGATGGGGAAGTCGAGTAAGGTGTTAAGATACTCAACTTCAAGTGCGTGTTGGTAGAGACAATCGGCATAGTGTGCGAGGATAGCCCCATGAAACATCAGACATCAATGTCGCGGAGAAGCATACAAGTTATCGTGGGACCAGCAGCCGTATCGGTTGAGTAGGGGATGGATAAAACGAGAGCGGGTTCGTATGTCCAATGCGCGACGCGCGGAATGAGTTGGAGCCATCACGACTGTGCACGCCACAAGTGGATCGATCTAGATGAGAACTATGGACGTTGCAGCTCAGCATCCATGATGAAAACCAAAAAGATATGACACTCGGAAATCCCTCAGTCCTTGTCCACCCTGTAGCCTGCATGGGCTCAAATCTAGAAAATGGTCACGTTTGATGAAAGATGACGGGTGTCGTATTCACCGCCAGGCATGTTTGAGATCTTCAGAATACAGTGGTCCAGTATTCTGCGGATCCCAAATACAGCATTGGAGAGGCAGCGAACGCGCTCAACAGACGGCTTCGCAGTGAGAATTATGGGCGCCGCAGCTCAGCCTAATATTGGCAGTCTGTGGCAGTCATAGGCTTCAAGCTTGGCACGTCCTTCCGCTGCTATTCCATGGCTTAAAGTCAGGATACTATCTTGATGTCAGCGTCCTGGGCAAGCTAGTCCTCCACCAGTACAACCCAGATCAACGTTCACGTCCATGAGCGGGCGGGGCCGGACACTGGCCGGACCCGGACGAGCTTTATCGATCTGATCGGAGGCGGGAATGCGCTGGCGCCAATCAGGTAGTCGGTGTGGCGGACTCGATTGCGGAGAAGTCACAAGCGCGTAGGTTGCCCATCTTTCTCTCCTTCCTCGACACTCTCAGATACCCCCGTCAGTGAATACCCCGACGGTGCATGTCATACTACTACCCCCAGGATGAGCGACTCGGACGACCGCCGCCGCAACTATACCAGATCAGCGAGCCACAGGTGACTGAGCCCAGGCAGCACCGCGCCAACACCCCAGAGCGTATCCGCGAGAGAAAGGCTCCATGGGTGCGTCCTCTATCTCCTACTTCGATTCTGTGCACTGATCTAGATATGCGAATAAGGTCAAAGAGCCATATTCACATAAGCCTCGCGATGAGGACTTCTACATGCAGGATCCGACCGACGGGCGTATGAAGCCGAACCCAGAACTCCTCAAAGATCACCTCTTCAATGAAGGCCGCCTCACAGAAGAGCAGACAGTTTTCATCTTAGAGGCTGTCACGGAACTCATGAGCCGCGAGCCTAACATGCTCAACCTAACCGGACCTGTCACTGGTGTGTTCACGCGCCAACGGTCATTGCACGCACGCGAGCTGACGAACTGCAGTGTGTGGAGACATCCACGGTCAGTTTGTAAGCCTCTTTTGAGCAGGAAATGTGAGACGTAGACATTGATGTGCCACGCAGTATGATCTCATGAAGGCCTTTGAGATTGGTGGCAAGTTTACGGAGACAAACTACCTTTTTCTCGGCGACTATGTTGATCGAGGATCCTTTGGTATTGAAGTATGTATCCAAGATGAGCGCAACTATTTGATTGCAGAAGTTTATCTAACTCGCGCTGGCTAGTGCCTTCTCTACCTCTATACCCTCAAACTCTGGTATCCAAGCGCGCTCGCCCTCCTCCGGGGAAACCACGAATGTAGACATCTAACAGGATTCTTTACCTTTCGTCG